TACAAAAATTTTTTTTATTAGATTATCTGTCGATATTTGAATTACAAATTACGTTTGATACTGATTTACTTTGAATGCACTTATAATATTTGTATCCTATACGTTTTTAAAAGTTAGCTTCAAAAGTCTATTCACTGTGCTAATGCCCATCCTATTTGTAATCGCTTGCAAAGCGCGTGAAAAACATGATACGTATCATATAACTGAATAAAAAATATGCATCCTTCTGTGTAGGGTGCGTTACAACTTCATTAGAAATAACGAGAACCAGATTGCTATTACATACAAATTATTAAATCTTAAAAATGTATGTCTCCTACCATTATTAAAATCACATTACAATTAATTCGCTGCTACTTATCGATTTCTACATTATCAAATTCTACATGGCAAACTAATCAATTTACTAACTAATTTACTCTTGGTGCACACACATTAACCATATTAACTACTTCATTATCGAGCATTACGCGAAGAATCGATTAACAGTTAATAATGTGCTAGTCGGTAAGACACAAATCGTCAATACAAAAAAATGAAGTTTATGGTCCCACGACATAATAACGAAAAAGTGAAAGAGAACAAAAATGAGAGAGAGAGAGAGAGAGAGAGAAGAGGAAAAGGAGATGCAAAAGAAAGTAGAAGAGGGGGATAAAGGGAGAGTACTACGAATACTTGCGTATGGTAAATGGACTGTAGTACTATGAGTCAGTCACACCCACAAAGCCGGTTATGGGTTCAAGATCCTCTCTCTCTCTCTATTTCTCGATGCGTGAGGCTAAAGGTTTACTACACCTATTTTGTAGATCCGACCTTATCCTTCTCTTTCTCTCTCTCTCTCTCTCGTGTGTATATTCGCACGCCAAGCACGTGATTGTATACATACGTCGAGGTCACGCGTACGAATCGAATCTATCGGCCTTGTCTCGTGTAAGCGAGACTATTAATCGCTGGGATACTCGTAAATACGACGGTGATAAGAACGCGAGAGATAACGTGGGAATTTTCGGGAAGCATGGTCACAAAACTTGTACAATCAACAGCCGTAGCGTCGTGAGGATGAGACGATTCGCTTCTTCTAAAGCTGAAAATGTAAAAGCTATGACACATTTTTTTTCTTTGAGTCAATAAAAGACTCGGAAAAAAGGAGTTTCACTTCACTCTATTTCGAGTCTCTTAAATAGAAAATCAAAAAAATATCGCATAAAAATATAAAGTGATTTTTTATTCTTCGACTTTATTATTGCGAGATTTTTGCACGATTCACGCAACGAGACGTCAATCGTTAGAGACTCTCGTTACTGATAAAGGCACCATTTGGATCACCCCGGGGCTCCTCGCGATCGTAAACCGGTCCTGGGTGTTGCGCGTTTTGTCGGTGCCTGAAACACCTGACGAAACGTCCGCGACGATGCAACTGATAAATAAGGGGGAGGCTATAAAAGAGGAGAAGGGCAGAAGGTAGGGCGTGCATTCGGAATGCGAGCGTGAATCTCCGGCGTGTGTATGTATGTACACACGACTGACGCGCGAAGCGTGTTTGGCTCTTTGTAGCTAACCGAATAAAACGAGGCGATTCGAACAGACGTATCCTCTCCATCATTTTTGCGTTGATTAAAAACTGAAAAAGGAGAAAAGCGAACAATCTTATACATGGAAAATAATTTTGACAGAGAAAACAACGAGATAAAGTACATTCGTCGAATTTCAAGAATAAAAGAATTACAATTCGATAAAAACTAAAATATTTTCCAACAATTCGTGGAACATTTCGGATAAAATAAGAGGTGAATTTTTTTTTCTAACAATGGCTCTTGAGATATTCTTAAAAATAATAAAAAATATTTACGAGATATATCGTGATTTAAAATTTACATAAAGAATGTCTGGAAGGTGTTTCAATCACGTAAATATTTTATCTCGTTATTTTCGAACGATGGCATAAAGAGAAACCGACTGCGCGAGGCGCAGCGATACAAAGACGCTGTTACAAAGTCGATGGCGTAGAGTCGTTTCAGTGAGAATCGCGGCCCCACGATCGAGGGCCGCCACGGGCGGCGATCTCGCGTGAGCGCGGCCGAGTTCTTTGTGATCAGGGCTCGACCGAGAAACCGGTTTCATTGGCGGAGGGTCCCTCTCCTTCTCTCTCTTCCTCTCTGTGAAGTGAACCGAACGTGAATCGCGCGCGGCCTGTTACAATGTAAACTGGCTAACTGGCTATCGCCGATCGTATGTAATCGGCATGCGAACGACACGCGTGTGATCGCATATCGATAAACGTATACGCAGATGCGCGTCAACTGTCGCTGTTTCCTCTCTCCCCTCTTTTTTTTACGCCGGGTTATATAAGCGAGATGGTTAAACCGACATAATAAAATTAATAATATTACATTACATTGAAATAGAATATTGAACGATCGATGTATGATATAAATCAATGAGTATATCGATGATTAAAAAGGAGGATGTATATACAATTGCTCTGATATCAATTGTTTCATAATTCATAAATAATACCGCGATTGAGAGACAAATAAAAATTATAAATGATAAATTTATAATCGGATAAGAATGTATATATAAGGTACGATCGAGCGATCGTACTTTAGACGTGGAATGTGCTTATCAGCATTTTATTACAAATTGCAGTCATTGCACATATACATCATCTTTACGCATTTTAAATGTCGTGCGCCCTAACAAACAGGTACAAAAACTACGCTACGCTAACTTAATTGCTACCTTAATGCTATCGCCCTCCCAGTCGCCTATTTTCTTTATCGCTAAATGAATTATAAGCGTTATAGAGCTTGGTCTCGCTCGACTGGAATGAAATTCACGTTCGAACGCAACGAACGATTTATGTATATGTATAAATACGATGTACATCGAGTCGTAACTAGATAAAATGTCGAAGATGAAATCTTGAAAAGATTCGCATAGCTACTTTCTCGCTCAACATTATTTTTTTGGCAAAAATCCCTCTGTCCGAATGGAAAAATAGGAAGGATTTTGTTATCAAAAATTCATTCTAATAGGCGGACATTCTCGTTTGTAAATTTAAAAAATCTTGCCAACTATTTTAACATTATAATTAAAATTATAAAATAGATTAGGGACTTTCTATTGCTAATTAGTAATATCAGTCGATACATGCGCGTAATGCATAAAAATAATACTTTTGCTAAAAGAGCTAAATATAATGATTCAGTAAAAAAAAAGATTTTCAAAAATTTTACGTAATCGCAAGGAAGGGATAGTAATATATACGTGAATTGTAGTCGTCGAAAATTCGGTATGAGATCGTATGTCATGTATCTTTACTGTAATCTACACGTTAACGCTAACATAACTTTATCTTTGACCATACTTGGCAGTGTTAAGTTGCGAGTTCTTTTCGTACTTATTTCTCGATTAATTTATTTTCTATTTGCGTGGACGGTGCGAGGAAGTCGACGTATATCCTGCACTATTATCTCTGTGTGTTTTTATTATTTTGCGAGAATCACAAAACGAAAAAAAGTAGAAAATTAATGATCATCAAAAAACGTTTATTACAAAATAGTAATAGCGCGAAATTTGACATATATGATCCAAAAGTTTAATAATATAACAGTCGTACGGAAAACGAGTTTGATTTCCTGTCTGCAAATTTTCTCGCGCATATGTCTACAAAATGTACAAATATGCATAGAGTAGAATACTAACTGATCACTCTTGGATGTAAAACTTTTCTACACGCGCGCGACTGTGGTCCCATATCACGTTTGTAAAAAAAGGAAAAAAAAACAGCCTTTGTACACTGTATATATGTACACGTAATTTGTACATTTTAAAATTACAATTATTTACAAGAGCGTTGTGTATAAAAAAAATACACGTTATCAATATAAAACACAAATCGATTATTTACAAAATCTAGATGTAAAAAAAGTACGATACACAATTATTTACAATAGTGTAGTGATAAAAAAGTCTCATTAGATGAGACTATCCCGGGCAATATCCCAAGAGACCACTCAATCGGCCTCGAGAAGCGATCCGGTGATCGGACTACTTCCGGGTCGTAGTGCGACAAGATGTGACTTCTTTCGCGGCGACGCCGCACTGACCTGTTGATAGACGTACTTGCTCTGTATCGGCGAACTTGAGAGGGTCTTTTGACGTTTCGCGCACGAGACGTACTCGTACACGAAGGATTGTTCCTCCCTGGGAAAGTCGGTCAGTCGCGTGTCAAGTAACTCGGCGGCGTCGCCGAGATCGAGACCTTCGTAGAGCTGCCCTACGACGATATCTTCGTCGACGATATCGATGTGTTTGGTCTCGTCGTACGTGATGTTCTCGTCATCGTTGATGATCTCGTCTGCCGCAGACCCGCCCGTCTCGGAGCCCGCGTAGCTCTCCGCATCCTCGTAGATCTCCTCGTGTCTGTCACCTTCGTACTTCATCTCGCCCCGTTCGAGAAGTTCAAGATGATCGGGATGTACCATGGCCCGCTTGATCGCAATCGGATCTTTCCTCGACCACTTTCGTACCTCCTCGTCCATCTTGGCCACTTTCGACGGATGGATGGCCCAGAGGCAGCCCTTACGCTGGCTACCGTTGCCGGGCGGCTTCTCGATCTTCTCGAAGCATTTGTTCAACGACAAGTTATGCCTTACGGAATTTTTCCAGCCCGTCGGCGCGGTCTTGAAATAGGGAAAGTGTCGGCTGCGTAAAGAAAACGAGAAAATGGAAAATGAAATTCGCGTTGATCTGGACGCATTTCGTTAATGTAAGAATATATTTCCAACAGACGATTAATTTACGAAACAAATTTGCAAAACTATCGTTAGCGAACTTATATAGATAAAATTTATTCAAATATCGATTTGCGGATCAAATTTTAATAAAATTTAAAAGTCGAATTATCTCTCTAGTAAATATTGTATATTTTCTTAATATCAAAGAATGTTTGAAGAAAATAAAAACACATCTGGAAAATTCTATCATTAGTTACGCACATTCTTGGAAAGAATTGTTTTCATCAAATGCTTCGAAACCATAAATATTTCAGAGAGATAAAATGCAACTTGATAGCTTTGCTTTACAAAACGATGCTTTAATGGAACATGGCTACAAGGTTATTTCAGCGAGACTTCAGTCAATTTATGAACCGTGTTAGTCATAACGGACAGAAACGTAGGCAGGTGGTAAACGACGAGAAAGCAGGCCCCGCCGTTGGTTTCTAGGAAGACTGTACCTCGACATGTGCCCCTGGTTGTTCCAAGGGCCCCATACAAAATGGCAGCTTCTCTCTCTTTCTCTGTTAGCTCTCTTTCCTTTTTGCCCTTCGTATATATACCTAAACGCAAAAGGGGGCTTCGGCAGCCCCCTTATTCTTCCGGCCGAAAATAAACGGACGATGCGACACGTTTGTTCATCAAGTATAAAATTTCTCGTTGCTCGTCACGAAAATATCACACAATCATGATGAAAAATTACAAGTTTAATGAATTTTTAGCTCGAATTTAAAAAAAAACTCGCGAAAAAGATAATTTTTTAAAAAGCTATCTTTTATTGCGTGATTGATTTATTTTATAGTAATATTTAAAATAACAGACTTCATATATTCAATAATACTAATCGAGATCAAAGTAATAGAATTAAGGTTTAGAAAAAAGATCCCTTAATGCTAAACAACATATAGTAACTTGCAACTTGAGTCAAAGAACGGAAAGATATCTACTTTTTAGGTCATTTTTATAAAAATTAATTAAATATTGTTTAGATAAATTTAATTATTAAGCAATTTACAAAATTATTTTGATTGCATGCATTTTGCGATAATTTTGATAATAATTCGAAGGACACTCACCACATGAAGTTGTAGATTTCAGAGACTGGCAGCAAGCCCGTTTGGCTGTTTTTTAATGCCATCGCGATGAGACACGAATACGAGTACGCGGGCTTCGGATAGGGGTTGTCGCGCTGGCTCGTCAGATCCTTCTCCCGCTTCGCCGTCTGTATCATCACCGTCGTGGTCGCACCTGGACCGACGTCGTGCACGTTATTGTTGTAAATCTGTTTGCGTATATGACCGCCCGGGCTAGAGGTCAACATCTTGATATCCATCGTGCCGGACACGGTACCTATCTTGGAGTGCTGCATCTGCACCCTCGTCAGTTGTATCGTCGGCGAGGAGGATGCGGCCACCGTCGTCCTGATACCGGGAGAGGACGACGACGATGACATCGACGTCGGCGTTTCCGCGTTCGAGGATGCAAGTTGAGCGGCAGTCACATCCTGCTGCTCGTCGTCCTCCGTCTCCTCCTCTTCCTCCTCCTCTTCCGTCTCTTCTTCCTCCGTCTCCTCGTATTCTGTTTCGTTGTGCTCGTTCTCCTCGATCTCCTCTTCCTCTTCCTCCTCTTCTTCGCTTTCGTTCTCCTCGTCGTTTTCGGTTCGCTCGGCCTCACTTTCGTTCTCCGTCTCTTCCCCCTCGTTCTCAACAACGTTCTCTTCCACGCTCGCCGTCTCTAACATCGCCGCTTCGCTGTTCGACGCGGGGCTGCGGATAGGCATGCACATGTTGCGCGGCAATATCAAATTCGGGTCCAACGTCAATGCCAGCTCGCTGTCGCTGTCCAGATTTAGTTCCTCCAGGTTGCTGTTCGAAATAGATAGACATAAATTTAGATTTTCTGTTGAATTCATTAAATTTAAACGAGCTTTTTTCAATTTATCTTTTGAATCTTCGAGTCTTGGCAATATAATCACATCTCTAATACTTTCCCATCATAGATGCTGAATTCTAATTAGCTATAAATTCTCACCTATTCGAGCTACGGCTTTTGTCATTGAAACCGACCGCGTCTTCCTCGGTCTCCGTCAAGACATCGTCGAAGTCGAAACCAAGACCCGGACCGTGCCAGCCGAGTCGACCCGTGTTGTCGCAACGCCGGATGTCCATATGGAACATATCTGGACGGCCTTGGAAGGCGTCGGAGATGCTGTCGCTGCCGAACAGGCAGTCCCACGGATCCCCGGACAATCCCTGCTCCATCCCGACGTACGCATTTACGGTATCCAATTCCATTCACTCGACTGCAAAGGATATGAAGCGATATTTTTAAGAGGATCGTCATCAAAAATCTATCGAATAGTTAAGTTGCAGGACGTTGCGAATTATAATCTTCGAAAGTAGTTTCATTTTCGTAAGAGCGATCGTAAGGAAGTCGCTCTATCGTGAAATTATATTTTTATAGCCCCATAAAAGAAGCCTGGTTTCATAGCCGTATATTATATTGTTTGCGCGCTTTACAATTTTTGTATCATATATTTCTATATATTTATATTTAATTTTATCGAGAATTATTAGTGAAAATTAAATTTATAATTATATAATAAAATGTGTGTATATATATGTAAACATATAATTTATACTCTTTGGCGCGCACAAAGAGAGCAGATATTCGTCTACGCGGTTTATGCACTACGGCGACTGCAGGCCTTCTAAAAAGTTTTCCACTACCCTCCCCCCTCACGGCCCTCTGCCCCTGCGGACTCATCCATATTTCAGCACGTGTGCGCTTTTTTTAACGACACCGAGAGTTTATTTCGGATTAGCACGCTTAGACTCGTAGATCGATCATTTTCACGGATCGGCCTTCATAAGGGCGCCCGGATTGATATCTACGGCCCCGCGTTCTGTGCTTCATCGGAGAAATAATAGCCCGCTCGAGTTGAGACGTGAGAGTTCTCGAGAGAGTTCCTCGTCTCGAATGAAAGCAGATCTGTACGTGGAAACGCCACGTTTATTCGCTGATCGAGACGGTTGAGGAAACAGCCTTCGCGTATTTTGTACCTCTTCGAACTCGTAAATTATCCTCGATCATGCTGCCTTAATGAACTCTCTCTTTCTCTCTCTATCTTTACGTTAACCGTATTAATTTTATACTGTATATATAAATGGAATTTTTTTTTTATATCATGACTTTTATATTAAAATATATACAACTTGACGCGGATCCCTCTGATCTTTCCGAACGATCCGCGATCTAAATATCCCGGGATGGTTCGCTCTAAAAATTTCCACGTTATCTCGCATCCTTATCAGCGTATTTCGTACTGTGAATACAACGAATATCACGATAGTGTTTCACTACGCCAGACAAAGCCGATAGATTCACGTAGGTGCGCCAACGTATATATAGTTGCGTGACATACACATTTGTGCGTGCATCTGTGTGGGTGTGAGAAACAGAGAATGAGAGAAAAACAGAGAGAGAGAGAGAGAGAGTATGTGTACAACGAGGATCTTGAACCCACAACCGACTTGTGGGTGTGACTAACTCATAGTAGATTTACTATATACGCATAGACCCGTAGTACTCCCCTCTTACCCTTTTCCCTACGCTTTCATACAGCTCTTCGTCTTCTCTTTTGTCTTCCGATTCTCATTCAAAAATAAAATAACGACAAATATTGACAAATGAAAGAAATATATGTGGAGAATTCTTTTAATTTAAAAAAAGATCATTTGTTATCTCGATTCGATGTTCTGATTCAATGGAAGAGTTTTGAGAGATTATTTCCAACATTGCTGAAATAAGCGTACAAACGAAAAAGCATTCTATATCGAAAGAGACCAATCTTTTTTTTTTTTTTTTTAGATAAGTTCTAACAAACTTTGCTTCTAACAAGCTTCGTGTGTTTTTACGCGCTTATTTTATTTTAAGCACAGCCGAAACTAGCAGACCTTTACCCCCTCCCTCCCACCTTATTCCTGTCCACACGTGTATGTGTGTATTATGGAAACAAACATCCGGCATTGATTCGAATATTCCAGCCGGTAGATTGTGCGTATTCTCGCGCGCACGCACATACACACACACACACACAAACACAGCATCCGTATCTCGCGATGGACCAACTGTAGATACAAAGCCGTGCGCCGTCTCTGCTCAGCCCGCGCTTTTCGCCGAGTATCGATCTGATACGTCTACCCTCTCTTCCCCTTCTCTCCCCCCGTTTCCCTCGGCCTCTCCCTCAACCCCTGTCATCCACCCTCGTCGTATCCTTTCCTCCCCCTGGTCGGTATTTGCGAGCTGCAAGAGCGTGCACCCCGCGCAGCGTGCACCAATGCCGCGCCCGGGTTCATCAGGGTGGCACCCTTCCTCCGCCCCTTCGTGTTCTCTTCCTCGCAAGCCTGTTTGAAAATTCATCCCTCTCTCTCTCTCTCTCTCCCTATTTCTCGCTCTCCCCTTCAGTTCCCCCACAGATCCCCAGCGCAGACCGCTCGTTAACCCATAATATCGCTCGCTAGAGTCGAATTAATGCTTCTCTATCTTTGCAAATAAAAAGACAGATTTTTGTTACGAATTTTATACGTTACTTTGTCGCTTTGCAGCAAAATTAGAATATTCTAGTTTTGATTCGTCGAAGATTCGCATATCGACTGTTCTCTATTTCAAGTCAAGTTTAATAATTTACAAACCGGAAACATTTGTTTAAACAACTACACGAGAATAGATTCGCGATCGAAACGAGAGAGAAAATCTGTACAATAAAAAATAGATCGTGCTTATAAAAAAGAAAAGCTAAAAAAAAAAAAAAATAACTAATGGCAATCAATTTAATCTCTTAGAAAGAATGTTCCCCTTTTTTTCGTCCCTACATACTAAAACTAAAATTATCGATTGAAAAAACAGCTGACTCTCACAGAGGCGTGACGCGGTGGTAAGATCGTTTATTCTCACGTTCCCGTTTTCTCGACGGATTAATATCGATATGTGTCACTTATATGGGACGGCGTGTCACACAATGATGTGTCTGTGCGCGCAACGATGTCGCACGCGTGGCATCGTACGCACGTGGCCGCGCGGAATTGGCGCGAAAAAGTACGCCCCCCTCCTCCCCGCGACGTTAACGTCGCGACAATCTCACGCATGCTTCGCATCTTCCGATTTCATCTGTATAAACGCGAGAATCTGATAGAAGCGGATTTCATGGACTCACAGAATTTTGATAAAGTATTTTGAGCAAAAACTTGAAAAAATTATCAAAGGAATGACGAATTAAATTGTCGTGTGTGTTTCAATGGGATTATTATATTGATCAGAGCGCTTATCGTGCCCAAATGATATTTCCTCTTCTATCATTCACGTTATAATATTGTGGAGCTGCGATTTAGAGAAAGGGGCAGCAAACCTGTTCCTTTCTAAATCGTAGCGTCCCACACACAGCTCTTGTAATAATATACTTACCACGGTTAGTCGACGCGGCGCGTCTCAAACTGCATATAATTATTTCACTTATCTTATCATATACATATATATAGGAGAATATGAAATAATAGTTGAATATTATTTGTAAATATCTATCGATTTTTTAGGTATTTATAAACGGGAATATCGAGATTAAAAAGAGATTTGCATTAACGATTACTTCGCCTCAATTACGTAAGAGCGCGACTGAAATGGACTTCTCTTTAGCTTAATGTCAATCTCACGGTGCATTTGCTAATCCCGTCTACTGCTAATTCAATGAATTTCAGGCTTAGAATTTTTTGCTTTCAACTGGCCAAACGGATGAGTCAATCGCGAGGTCTCCGCTCGACATCTTACAAAATTTCGCACGTTACCGCGAAACCAAAGTATACGCGATTACAATGAAACGCGTTTCTCAATGTGTCTTTAACACGCACAGATTACAGCGTCTCTCTCTCTCTCTCTTTTGAAGAATAAAATGGAAATAAAATGTACATTTTTTTCAGGACTTTGCATGTCCTCCATAAAACGGCAGTCCAACATGAATGATTCTATATCGATACAATTGTGGAGTTTAATATTTTAACAGAGCAATGAAACAATACAATATTTAAGAGAGAATGTTTTTTGCCGTGCCTAGAGTTAGTGTGCACGTAATCGCGTAAATTAACATGTTACAAATTGACGTAAATCAGATGGTGTACTTGGGTAGTGAACGTTCTAAATGTAGACCAGCTCTAAATTAGACCAATGGTTAAAATCTTCCACGCTTCGTCCGCCTTGATATTATCAAAGCGCCGCGAAAGTGACCGGGCAAATGTTTCCATTCCGCGTTCTCTCGCTCGCGTCATCGCTAAAAACGAAAGAGACCCGCGGGCTCGCAACGCGATGCGAAAGCACGAAAGCACAATGGCGCGTTATTAACCGCGAGGTTACGGCTAACGACGAGCAAAAATTGCCGATTGTTTCGCAAATTCGTTTCGCGATGAAAGAGAATCGCCGCGTAGAGAGGCGCACATTTCAAACGCGCTTTCCGGATCTAACACCTGATACTGGGCATTTTCACTTTAACACGCCGAGATATTCCGGAAAGCACATTGTACAGATCTGTCGAATGAATAGAGGCGTAATGTATTCGAGAACAAAAAAAATTCCAAAGTACACACGCATCGTATTATACGGAGTGTTCCTTATGAAGTATAGATATTCCTTGTCAAAAAATATACATCTTTTTCCTTTGACCAAAATTTAAATTTCTGAGAATTCATCGTTTTCGAAATTTATTATTATTATTTATTATACTCATTTTTTAATATATTTGCTGGCTCTTTGTGTAAAAATTTGGGCGATTCTGATTATTTTTTTTTTAGAAGAAATTTACGGTAGTACTTATTATCTTTATTATCCTACGTATATGAGACACCTTGTATACTTCTGCGTGTCGGCAAACAAAAAAAAAAAAAAAAAAAAAATTTTGTTTCCAATGAATGAGACCCGAATTCGCCCTGTTCGCGAAGACGTTGAAGCGAAATCTAAACATAAAAAAGTATATTCTCGATTTCGCGACGACTCGATTTATTTTAAGAAATCGTGAGGAATTGCGATATATATAGATATACCCGTAGACGCTCTTATTGCTTCCGTAAAAAAGTATATTCTCGATTTCGCGACGACTATTTATTTTAAGAAATCGTGAGGAATTGCGATATATATAGATATACGTCGGTCGGTCGGGAGAGCCCGCGAGAGACGAGACGGGCAATAATGCTTTTTACGCGCGGGGTACACAATTTACGCGACGCGTAATAATGGCGCCAGACCTTACCGTATATCGATACTGCGCGTCCAATGATCCCCGTATCACTCTGTCCGTTCACGACGGCCACCACTTTCACACATATATTTACGAGCGAGTCGCACGATTTTCGGCGCAGCGACCATGTATAAACGTACACCGACACGGGTCCCCCTTGACGGAACTGAGGCAACGTTGGGTTGACACGAGCAGGCCCGTGAACAAAGACCACAAGATTTCAAATCCCGTCGCGTCGATTGGTCGGCGTAGATCACGTGGCCGAGGCGCGCGGCCGCCTATTGGCCCGCCGCCACGGGGGTGCGAGAACGTTTTGAACGATGCGCCGCAATGCACATGGCTGACAAAGGCGGATTTTCGCGGGGCGATATCTCGCGGACGTCCGTCTCTCTCGTCACCCACCGAGATAACCCGTAAACGGGGCTCACCGAAATTCTTGACGGCGAACGATGACACGACGCCGTAAACGGCGATTATTTCCCTTCGGGCGACACGGGTGTACGATGCTGCTACTAACGTACTGTTGTGCTCGCACACACACGTTCCCTAACCTTCCCCACAAGAAAATGGCCGAACCCAAACAACACTGCGCGCGCGGAAAGTCACTCACCGAGACGGCACATATCGCGATCGTATTCCGACGCGACGATCCTTCCGATGGATTCCGTGTGATTTTTCTCGCCACGCACCGTCGCCGAGTCGCCCGTGAGTCCCGCCGCGAACGCGACAAATAATCGCCGTCCCGTTCAACGAGATTGAATACGATGGGCGAGTCCATCGCGGCCACTACGGAGGGGTGTCAGGCAGCTTCCCGTTAAGAATGAAACACTACGCGATAATGGCGGGAAGGTACGTGTATACGCAGCACATGGCGATTTATTGACTTTGAGTAGGTAAATACACACCGCACTCTCTCGGTCTTCCCGCGTCTCCTCTTCGCTCCTCGTCGCAAATTTCGTCATTTTTTCATTCCACAGCGCTATTTTTTCCCATATAACCGTTTACTCCAGGTCTTTTTACCTCCGAAATCGATATAGATGGTCTCCCTCTCTCTTTTTAATGCGAATTATCTCTCCGAATATATTTCTCCATAATATTTATTTCGCAACATTCCTTACCACTGATTACATATTTCTCTGCATTACTTTGTTATAATATGTATTAGAACACATTTGCCAATCATATCTCAGTTTATTCAGTAGCTCAATTATTTCAATGTATATATATTAATATCTTTAGTTTTCTTATTGCTTCAGACTCTCTCATAAGCATATATACACATATACTTATGTTCAATCTTATAAAAATATTTGGTATAAGACAACACTCTCTCACATATATATACTTTATAGCTTTACGTATTTCAAAGGGAATCTCTATATTGAGCAATATGCACGCACTGCTTTGGTCCCAGTAGAACATATACTTATAGCACCATTGTTTTCATACTCTACTTTCATACAGGTAAATAAAAACTGTGCATTTCGTCTTCGTAATCGATGATTATCTGGCCATCCAATTTTCTACTAATATCTTGATACCATATTGTCTTGATGTTGTTGTTTGCGTTTTCTTCCATTCATCCTTTTACATCAGTTAATACTTGATATCTCTTCATGTCCTGTTATTCGTTGTTAGACTTGAATCTTTACTCATATGTTTGTTTCTTCATAAGTATTCATGTATCATTCGTCTTTCTTCGCTTGAAAATATACTTCTTCAAGATAAATATATCCAACAATCGTAAACTTTTAGAATTGCATAACATTAATATATATAAATGTAGTATAGATATATATCGACTTAGTATAGTATTGCACATATGATTTGCTTATAAGCTCAAGAAGACTCAGATTAATACCATTGGCAGGTTTGCAGAATGAGCCGCCACTAGTTCTATATATGATTATGGCATCTTTTAGTCTTTTATAGTATAATATATAGCGTGCAAGTTTAAGCACTCGCAACAGCCGGTATTATTTTGGTATATATTTCTACTCCTTTCAGAAATATGTCTTTGTTTAAATATTCATTGTGATCATGAAGAAGTATCTTTGTATTGTTCATTGGCGAAAAGCAGATAGAAGGAATTCCCACCTGAAAAATAAGAATATTTAAAGTTTTATTTTATAAAATAAAGATAAATTAATAAAGTAAAGTAAAAATTATAGCGTATTCTTAACAATCTGTATATGTTTGACGCAATATTGTATAATGCTTAATTTATTATGATTGCTATATATTTTCAACTTGACACTTTGATCGTACATCATTTATCATTCAAAAGTACACAAAAGTATATAAATCTAAAATAAAAATTTATAAAAATATTAAATAAAAAATGTTTTTAAACAGTTTTTTGTAAAATTCAAATTTATATTAGGTTTATTAGATGAATAAAAGTCTCTAAAACGCCATAAACTAAAAACAACGAAATGGATAGGAACAAATCTCGCAAATATGCCGATACAAGGTATTTCGCGTTCAAAGCATGAAATTTATGACAATGGATATTTCGTCTTTTGTATATATTTAAAAATAAAATATTAAGTTTTAACATGTCGAGAGCAGTTTAATGTGCTCACCTCGCGCACAAAACGGCTATCTGTGCCTCCTGGAAAGATACCAATTTGCAGCTCGACACCTATTTCGTCGCAGCACTTTTTAAAAGCGAGCCAAAAAGGATTAGAATCATCAAGCTTCGTATTCTCGATTTTGGGATCTTTCTTTTCGAAGGAATAGGTTACGTCTGGACCGGCTTCCTCGCACCAGCGTTTGATAGTAGCCTCGAATTCTTCGTGATCGACACTGGGTGTTATACGAATGTCGAATGTAGCGTAGAACTCGGCGGGTATAACATTAGTCTGTATACCACCCTGCAAAGACATGTTTAATTAGACTCGAACAATATCGAATAGATAGATAAGAAAGAGAACGTAGAATTTAATAAAATCGCAAACTGGCAGAGAATAAAATTCCAAAATAATTGTATAACGTAAGAAAAGTGTAATAAAGCAGGAAAAATACATTATAATATGTATATTATTATTATCATTGAACGTAAACGATTCGACGTATTATTAGAACATATTAAAATACTCACTGTAGAATATGAATATCCCAATGAAACAGACATGTAAAACAAATAACTATCATGTAACAGCTTGAAAACTAAAGCTAATTCATCTGTTTGAGAGAACACAATTTTCTTCAGTAGTAATATAAATTCACTGTATAATTATATTCTTGATATTTGTACACACGTGAATTTAGTTCAAAATTAAATGAAGGAAAATACGATAATTCAATACATAATTTGTCATTTCATTCTCAAAAGTAACGAATCGATACTCTTGTATCCGTTAGATGGTAAAAATCACTTTACAAAATGTATACATACGCGCAATATATACTTACCGAAATTTTCGTAAGATTAACAGACGTTACATCGCCAAGTTGGTTCTTGGGATCTTTCAGCTTCGCTTTCTCGGCTCCTCTGAACTCCATGAAACGGTCGATTATGACTCTCAATTTCTCCCCGGCCGTATTATCCAGCATAATCGAGCCGTGACCGGTACTGCCAGCGCATTTTATACCCACGTGCCAGATCGGTCTCTCTCCGTTGAACATGTAGAAGTGATCCTTCGGACAGGCCACACCCTCGTCCAAGGAAAAACCGACGTTCAAAGCTTTGAAGTCCGCGGTGTGTACGAAATCTTTCATCCCTAGAACACCGCCAATCTCCTCGTCCGGCATGAAGGAGATGTGAATGGTGCGCTCGCAACGTTGTCCTTTCAACTTCAATCTGCGAATCGCTTCTAAATACTGTATTCCGACGCATTTCATGTCCTGGCTACCGCGAGCATAGATGTTACCCTGCTCGTCCATGTGAGCGCTGAACGGTGGATAGGTCCATTTGTCCTACATCAATCGAGATGTGAATCACGATATTGTAATCTCGTTAACGTGAAATTTACGCCAATAAATGGCACTTACCTCGAAGACAGGTACAACGTCCATGTGACTGTTCAAGAGAATCGATGGCTTCGCCGGTTGCGTTCCTGTCCATGTGAGAATCACGATCGGTTTCTCGGGATGTACATGATAAATCTTGATCGGCAATTCGAGTGACTGCGCTTGTTTTTTTAAAAATACCACACACGCATCTGAAATGTAAAATACAGAATATTATTAAGAGTCCTTAGGATTTAAACACAGTAAGAATATGTATGTGTATTCTAGAATATATATTCTAATAATCAGTTATATTAGATAATAATTATTATATACATATATGTATGTGCTCACAAATTGCAGGCTCTCTAATTTACAAACTAATCGTTTAATTTAAAAGCCTTTAAATATATAATTTAAAGCATTATTGAGCAAACGAAACTGTTATCTTTAACTCTCTTTCTTATTATGTGTGTATTATTTTTTGTATATGCAGGGTGTATCCTAAAAAATGGGAAGTATTGCAATGAGAGATTCAGGACACAAAAATAAGAGAAAAAATTCATATAAACATATGTCCGATATGACCGTGTTTTCAAGTTATAGCTTGTTTTATTTTTCAACAGAATTAAGATGATTACGGTTACAGAAAGTGATCAAAATGACTACCTCTAACTTGAATACAGGCTTCAACACGTCTCATCATAGATTGTCTGACTTTTTCAAATATTCCGGGTATTGCTTGAATTTCCCGGCAATCATCTTCAACGTGTTGACCAAGTATCTCGACGATACGAATACCTTACCTTCAAACACAAGATATGAACCGTATCACTTACAACACAAATAATACGCGTTTATGTTTACAAATTAACAAGACCTTAAGTCCTTTACATCTTGTACATAAACAGCAAACCGATATCCAAGTATGCTATCTTAACTCTATTGGAAAATAAAACAAGCTATAATTTGAAAACAAGGTCATATCGGACATATGTTTATATAAACTTTTTCTCTTATTTTTGTGTCCTGAATCCCCCATTGTAATACTTCCCACTTTTTAGGATACACCCTGAATATGTACATCTTGAAATATTTATAGTGACAAAGTAGTGACTAAGAAAAAATATAATTTCTGTTGGAGATTATAATTAATGTTGAAAATTGAATTCTATTAATAGCAGCTCTATTAAGCTGCATGTTGTGTATTTGCCTTTTAAATATTTTATGATGGCTATAAATATTCATTTCGTAAAGCTCCTGATAAACTGAGCGTTTAAAGAGTTCTGAAATTCTAAGATAAAGATAATATAATTGGTTATTAACTTAGTAATATGTGCGGGACTAGCATTATTAATTTCTTCGTAAATGATATAAATCATAGTTAGACAGTTTAACCTACATATTACAACTAATTCCTCTGAAAATGTTGGACTGGCAATCATTTGATAATCCCGATGAGAGATAGGATATTTGAAGTAAGTGAGTAAATTAGACTTGATTGTCAGTTATGGCCTCTTATCTATTTTAAAATAGATAAGAGACATGATAAAGATCAATTGTGCTTTTTCGTTATCGAGGAAAACATAAAATTGTCCAAATGTAACAGACTCGTAAATCATATCACCACGTGTATGACGAATGAAATGAGATTGCATTGCTAATTATATAATTTGCAAAATAAAGCTGGAGTTATCGCCAGTTTATGATTGGAAATTGCAGATTCGTAAATTATAACAGGACGAAAAGATACCCGGGACTGTCTTCGATCCGGAACACGTCGAGAGGCCGCCGTAATCACCGTCCTCGTCGCGATTCGATCGGGAAAAGGGACGTGCGGGATCGTTCCCGGGGACATCGTGGAACGATCCGACGAGATCGGCGTGAAGCTGCGACCGGACGAAAAGGAATAAAAATAGAAATAACGTCGCGCACGCAGGGTGGGGCATGCAATGGCTGGATAGCGTCACCGACGCTATCTCCATTTCTCGCGAGCGTCTCCATGCGTCGCGTCGCCTCGCATGATTTTACGCAACCGAAGATCATCGCCGACGATATATCCCCATCGGTGACCGTCGATGAAGCGCGTAATTTACTTAACGAGGAAACGCGTCGTTGAGCGTTCGTTCTCGCGACCCCGTTCACGCGGACGCGGCCGGCGTGGGTCTCGTTTTCCTCCCCCCCTTGCCGCGCTACTCTTTTACGGATATATCATTTTTTTTTCTTCCGGTACACGGTATTTAATCGTGCGCTTTCTCCCACCTTTCTATCCACTTTTCCCTAATTTTCCATCCGAATCGGATATACGATATACGCTCCGAAGTGATCTGGTTTCGCTGTTGAATTTCAGACGCGCATTACACAAAAATCTCTGTCTTTCTCTTTATCTTATTCCCAGAACCACGATTTGCAGCTAGTTTCTCGAAATTTCGTCGAATCGAGTTTCGCTCACCGTAATTAATATTCGGCTGCACCGATGGTATCCGCAGGTACTCGCGAAAGTTCTCCACAGCTGTTTCATCCAGCTCGACCTGTGACGGCGACATCGTTCCAGCCATCCGTCCGATCTCTCTCTTCCGTCTCGGGAGTGCTTTATCCTCGGAACCCTCGGGTATCTCGCTAGTTAGGTGCGCGTCGGGAAGCTATACCGTCGTCTACCACGACTGTCACAGCAGAAGACGCCGCGTCGAGATCCAGAGTGCCGCAGCGGCCGGAATGTCGCGCGGCCCGAACGAACGCCGCGGCTCGGCTCGCCCAATTGCCGCCGGTTACCGGCGCTTACGTCACGACCGCGCGCTCGAATCGAATGGCGCGGCCTGGTAACAGGCTCCCACGCGACGCGCGAGATCACGCACGTCCGCCACGTCGTGGACCGGCGCGATTCGAAGACGCATGGCAACACGTTATTTTTTTTTTAAATAGGAAAATTGGCGCGAATAGAGAGAGAGAGAGAGAGAGATCGACGGTGGATTCTAACTTTTTGGTTTCAAAAATGCTTAGAGATCTCCCCCTCTTTTTTTTATATTTATATGTCAAGATTGTATGACGTAATTTAAGAGTCAAGTTATAATTTTCTCTTTCAAATTTCGAAAACACGAGTCTCTCTCTGAGAATCCTTTGAAAAACCAAATGAAATATAATATTTGCCAGTGATAAATTGTCGCTATTGTAAATTATCGATTCTGATAATGCGAATAGTGCGTACAAGTATGTTGATAATAATCAAATGGCATGATAATAAAACAATAAAGTGGAATTTGCTCTTTGACAATGTAATTAGTATCGATATCACGGGACAAATATTATTGCCAAAGAGACGAGAAATAGATAAATTTTTATCTGCAATAACGATAATAATACAATAAATTATGCTCTGGGTACAAATAACGCGTCAGTTTTTAACCCGCCACTTTTGTTTTCAATTATTCGTTCTCGATAAGTTTCATCGTATTTTAGACGATATATATTTCTTTTCGCGCTCGATTAAAAAACAAGATCGAATTGTCATCGAATAACGTTCTTACGTTAAACGCGCGCAGGGTAAAGCGAGGATGCACACGAGTAACAGTGTTAATTCGTAAAATGTATTCCGATTTATTAAATTTCACGTATGCCTAAATATGAGCTCTTTACACGTTATAATAATATATATCGTGTAGAGTTTGATATCGAAGAACTTGTTATACATTTATTATAATCGGTAGTACGTTGATTAAATTATCGTACAATGTAATAGATAATAATGTAACATGGCTATAACTAGGCACATACATGTAACAGTGAATCGCAAATAAAAAAATTATGTTCTCAGCCTATTTTATAAAGTTGAATATAATAATATATAATATTAATATAATATATAATATAATATATATATATATAACTGCTATGCTCTCTCTGTGTGTACTCTCTTATTTACAACATTGAAACGATTATCTCTAACGAGTTGCTTTATACTATCAGATACCTTTAATAACAAAGTCGCTTGTTTTTGCCTGCTCTCTTTATCAGAATGTCATTATACAGATATATAGTACGAGCTATATATGTAGGAGAATTGTACAACGGACAATAAACGTACAGATTTAGCTGCAAAGCAATAATATCCTTGTATCTTATCTTACGAATTTCACGAAAAATTAAAGAGGATAGAGAAAGATTAATATAACAAGTGGTTCTCATGTATCAACATTTGCATATAATTCGTTTTAATTCATTAAAAAACATTATTTTTATATAAATGAGATGAATGTGTGTGTGTGTGTGTGTATATATATATGTATATATTTAAAGTTATGTTACAAAAATATTTACATGTTTTCATTGTAACTCGGATGGCGAACATGAGCTGTACACTCCCACCATTCTCCCTCCGTCATCTGATGTTACGCCACCCGCGGCAATTTATAACTTACATTAGTACACACACGTTTCTTTTTTCTTTTATTATTACAAAATATCAGCTAAAGTACAAAGTAAACACCAAATGCCAAAAATATGTCTGTTTACATTTTGAAATCGCAGCCGAACGCAATATAAAAAGGGCTCTCCCTCTCTTCTTCTCTCATCGCTTTCGAGCATAGGAGAACCGTACATATATGCGCTCAGAAGAGAATTCCGTTGAAATACTTTCGCAGAGAATACATAAATACATATTATAACTTAATTTTTTGCCCTTCTCACTTCCTAATCACAGATCTCTAAACTTTGATATTTGCTTAAGAACCGATGATTGAAATCGCACAATTGTTTCTTCCTTTATATACGTTTCGAAAGCTTCACGCGTTACATATGTTTTGCATTTTCGTTCAGCTAAAATTTTGATCGCGAATCACGTAACGGATACGATCCACTGAATCAAATGCGCCAGATATTTTTTCGCTTCATTTTCTTAGCCTTCTCACAAAGCATTTAGCGACATGTGGACCGCAGCCATAGTTACATATTTGTGACCAATGGATTGTGTAATTTAAAACTGAGAAAATTTGTAGATATTAAAAAAAAAAAATAACGCAATTATATTGTTTTCTGAATAATAAATTAAGATATATATTTACTTTTCTCTGCCAATGCTCTCTCGAGACGTTCGTTAAATGTAAGTTCACGATGCCTCCTCTCTCATTGAATCGATTCTAATTAGTCGCTTGACGCGAGGTACCTTGAGCACCTGTAACACGGCTATAATTTTTACGAGAGTCTCTCTAAGATTGTACCGCCTCTAATGTTGTACTATAATTAGTTTGCGAGCGACGTGTATTCATAACGTTTCTACTGCTGCGGAAAGTGAATAACTATGACGACTGTTACAGAGTGCAGCGAAATCTTAAATATATCGCAGAGAGTATCTCCAGCGAGAAGTATTCGTCGTTGTTTTCTTTTATAATCATATTCATCATCGCTCGCTCTCATGCAAGTGTCTGTGACCGAAAATACAATAAACCATATGTTAATATTATACAAACAGATGAAAATTAACTTACGAATTAAAGAAATGCGAAACTTGGCTTCTCCTCGCCTCCAACAAGTAATAACATACTAATGTACACCTATAATAATCACGCACCGTCAAAATCCGAAACTCTTCTTTTTATCATATATGTTATATATTTATATATATGTATATGTATTTATATAATAATTTTAATTACACATATAAAGTACAATATATATAATTTCAATTACACGCGTGTACACCGGGTCGACCTTGCAACTAGAAGACTATTAGATTGTAATTTCAAGTTCAAAAGCAATTGCTTCTCGTCATTGTGATTACGTCGAGTTACAAGTCTTAACGATATCGCACAAAATTAATACGTCGCAATGCGCTGCCCGCAGTTTTTCACGCAAAAAAGAAAGAACGCACATTTTCACTAACAACCGTGTTCTTTTTTTGTTTCGTGGACTAAATAAGAAGAAGCACTTTTCTCGTTACAAAATAGCCTAATTCTTTCTTTCTTTCTAAATTCTCTCTCTGCATTTAATTTATCTCGCAATTTATCTCTCTATACTTTTTTTAATACACTTTTTTTACCACTTAGTAAGTTTTGTACTTGAATGAATGTTGAATATGAGCGAATAAAGCTTCGGGAGATTGACTTAAAAAAAATAAAGAAATCCATAAATAAAACATCATCGTTAAATTTCTTTCGCTTTTTCTCGTTTAACTAAAAATATATTCCGTATCGCTTAAAGCGTCGACAAAAACAAAACGCACAGTTACATTGTACAATTTATCGTATAATAGTAATCGTTCTACATTTCCTTACAACATTAATATCGGTCCCGATATATGGATTTAAGATTAATAACGTATTTAAATAAAATATTAACGCTAAAAGGAAGAAAACGTTGGTTATATCGATAACGCGTCACCCTGTGTACGAAAAATAAACGAAATAGCCTGACTTACAAATTTCCAAAATAGAACTCAAGCTTAAATTTCAACATTTACTCTTTATTATAAATAATCTATCATTTTACAGTGAAATATAAAATATAGAGAATTCCACGCTCCCTTTTGCCTTTCCTACGTCAAAAAACTGCACAACATAGTACTAGCTCGTATATCTATTAGAATAGTTTGTATTGAGATTAGAGAGTAATTGCGTTTCTACAGACTAGTCTAAATGTAGCTTCGTTAAATATATAACTTCGTATATTGTTAATATTATGCAAACTTTACACACACACATACATATATATTTATATATATATATATATATATAGAGACAAGTTGAATGATGCAAGGTGTGCACATTGTATGTAATGATAACTGTTCTTAGAAGGGATATATCGCGAGCATCGAAATGTCGGCCTTATTCGCGAGCGCGCCTCCAACTTTAATCTTATCAAAATTATGTGTGTGTGTGTGTAGACTACGATGATTATATATAAACATTTTAGGGCACCGTACATTGCCGGTATAAAAAGTGTACGCTGAAATACACTTTTGGCCGTCAAAGAGAGTTTACCGGATATACTCCAAATATATGCTACTTAAAATGCGCGTCGTTATATACCCTTGAAATACTCAGCTATCATCTTTAGGCCACCGCGCGAATTCCGTAAAATATTTTGAGAGAAGAACCATCAAATTAACGTCTATTGATTAAACTTCTTAAATATGTACGCGACGGTTCTAGAAGCGATTGGCGGCAAACTAAACTCCGCGGCGTTTCTCCTTCTAATTATTTAGTGAAACTGTTGGAATTTTACATATGCGCGACTTCGCGCATTCTTACATCTCGCCTCATTCCGCCGCATTCTTTGCACACGCACGAAATGATATATATATATATATATATTATCTTACAGCAAGAGAGAATGTGAACTTCCGATATCAAGAACGTTTAGCTCGAATTCGTATTTTTCCTTCTTAGAGAGAAAAACCGCGCACGACGGGAGCAAGCAGGTTCAACGGCTCGCGAGACATCGCTCCCGATCGAGAATGTAAAATGATATCAATTTGGAACTTGAGAACTTTAAACAATCCTACCCTTTTCTGCCGGTTACGATCTCGGCGGTGCTGGATGATTGAAAAATGGTTTTTGCGGCTGTCCCGACGGCGCGGCGGGGGGGTACACTTGATTGCCTGTTGGCGGTGGTGTCGTTGACGAGAACTTGGACACCGTCGTTCCCGTAGTTGCTGCGGGTGCCGTTACCGTTGCCGTTGCCGCCGTTACCGGCGGCGGCGGCACGAATTGCGGCGGTGGATACGGGTTGGAACCCGGCGGCGCTTGGGACGCTTGAGGTACCAAAAATTGTTGTTGCACTTGCTTGCTGGCAGCTCCGCCC